TGTGTCTGTGTGTGTATGTGTGTGTCCGTGTGTGTATGTGTCTGTGTGCGCGTGTGTGTGTGTGTGTGTGTGCACGCACGCGCGTGTGTGTGTGTGTGTATGTGTCTGTGTGTGTGCGCGTGTGTGTGTGTGTGTCTGTGTGTGTGTGTGTGTGTGCACGCGCGTGTGCATGTCGGGGCACGGCTGCCAGCCTCGGCGGGCTCCGCTCTGCAGAGCAGATTGCACGGATACCTCCCATACCACTCCGGGCATCACGCCCATTAGCTGCCATTGATTCACTGACCTTTTGGCCCGCTCTCCCGCCCCCCCCACCGTTCCCCCCCTGCCCCCCCGGCTCCTCCATGTCCCCTCCGCAGACCTGCCACCTGGAACTCCAGATGCTTTTGCCCAACTGTTGACGTGCCCCTACTGCGACCGCGGTTACAAGCGGCTGACGTCGCTGAAGGAGCACATCAAGTACCGGCACGAGAAGAACGAGGAGAGCTTCTCCTGCCCCCTGTGTAGTTACACATTTGCCTACCGCACCCAGCTGGAGCGGCACATGGCCACGCACAAACCAGCCCGCGACCAGGTGAGCGGGGCCCCGCCTCTCAAAGGCTTAGTTATTATTGTTATTTCCATGTTGTTTTGAAGATGCACGTCCTTAAATGGTAATGCTTTTAACTGAGGCCCAAATGCTTTTTCCAATGGCCTCCTTTGATATAATGTAGCATTTTGTTTTAATCAAATCATTTCCCAGCCACAAACATGACTATAAGGCTTTATATCTGAGCAAAATAGCCCCCCCCCCCACCTTAATTTCACTATAGTTCGCAGCCCCGGTTTATAGAAGTGTGCCTCTAATGTCCCGGCCTGCCTGCCTGACCTATGAGCGAGGCTGGCAGGGGTGAGCACTAGGATGGACTCGTATCAGAGTGAAGCCTGCTTGGCCCTTTTTTGGCTGGCCTGCGATGAGTAAATCCTGACACACACCCCCCCCCCCAGACTGAGCTGCAATCCCCCATAGGTCCTATGAGGGCTCGACCAGGAATCCGGTCAGCGAAATGGCTGTGCCTTGTGACCTATTTTAACATCCAATTTCCCACATCTTTTACTGAAAACCAGTGATTCCTCCTCAGATTTTTGCAAGCCAACCCTACCCTACCCACCCCCAGATAGCATACAAGGTGTCCCCCCCCCCCACCTTTCTGCTCGCCTCCCTCCACCAGGGAGGTTTAACCGTGAGCAGATGGCCTCTCTGGTGATCTCCTGTCCTAATCCTTAAATGACTTAAGTGTTTGTTTATTCCTTCACTTTCCTGAACGACTGCCCTGCTTTATACTATGATGCATACCATGCCAGAGCGAAACTGAGTGTGCCCGTGACCAGCAGACATACCATAGCTGATTGGATGAGACAGCCTGTCACTCGTTACGTTATCCGTCACGTGACACTTCTGTTTCTACTAGCTACTCTGACATGGCTTCATTCCATTATAAAAACAGAAAGATCAATATCTTTTTTTAAATTTAAAAAAAAAATCACAAAAAAAAGAAATTAAGTCAGTCAAATCTCATGCAGTTTAATAATTATAATAGCCCATCAAGGTATGTTTCCTGCCATCACAACGCCAAAACATAATTCTAGAATGCATATTCTTACACATGCTGTCCTGGCTTTGATCGTTAGCACTTGATAAATATATTTGAGCGTATTTTAAATTCCATTTGTCCACTCCTTATTCATGGAATGTGCCTGAGATCATTAGGTGTTATTAATACACAGGACGGATATTTAGCAGGTCCTTAACTAGCGGCTAATCAGAGGTGAACAATGGGGGCTCGGCTCCGGTGGCACGTATCGTGCCCGGCAGGGAGGGCTGGCGGGCAGGCGGGGAGGAGGCCGGCCCATTGTTGAAAAATCCCCTCATTTGCTTGTGGCATTTGCAATTAGTAAAGGAGAGCGATTGTATCGTATTAGCGGCGGCACTAAGAAAGTTTACCGGGGACCACAGAGGGAGGCGGCGTGCAGCCCAAGCAGCTGTTGCTGTTTGTTTATGTCGAGTCGGGGGGGGGGGGGGTTGGGGGTCCCTCGCTGGGCGCTGGGCGGCCCCCGATCCCGCTTGATCTCTGAAGATGGCTGCTGTTTGAACAAACCCTGCCTGTGTCCCCCCCGTGCAATGCCATCTGTCTCCCCAGGAATGTGGGCAGAGTTGCTCACACCCCAGCAGTTGTCGTGCTGGATCAGGGGGCCGGCTTCCCCCACGCCTCAGAGAGCTTTTGTGTCCCCTGACCGCTTAACATACCCACCTCCCACTCGGCATTAATTGGGCACGCCCGGCATGCAGCCTTGCGCTGACGCCACCATTGTTGTGGCTCTCAGCGTTATGGTTTCATTCTGGGTCACTCGTTTCCAGCGGGAACGTGAGAGACTCACGCTTATGAGCCCTATTGGGATATTAACACAACCTGCATCAAATTTGTAGGTGATTTCTTCATTTCCGGTCGGCACAAATGTTTTGTTTTATGTGGAATTATGTTTGCTTTACACGACTGGTTGGATAACCTGTGAAAGAATTGCAGTGTCACCCCAGTGATTGCCTCTAATTAATAAAACAATGTTAGATTGCAGTTTCTAATCAAGGGAACTTCTTAAAAGGGGGATCCTTTTGTGATTTTTTTTTTATCCGGCCGTTGAATCACAAAGGCATGCTTGTGTAGTCAGTGAGGCCGGAAATGAAAAAGGTGCATGGTCCGTGCCGTTATCGGCAGCTCCCTCACCGACATCAAGAGCAGGAAACCAGGGCGGCCTGCCGCGGAGAGCACCATTTGGCCTATGCTTGCACCGGGCCGGTTATCATCGCCAGCAGAGTGCATACCCTCGAAATGTCGGCTTGGATCTCATTGTAAATACCTTCTCTAACACAGCACCAACTGCTGAATCCGGGAGCTGGCAACCGCAAGTTCAAGTGCACAGAATGCGGAAAGGCCTTCAAATACAAACACCATCTGAAGGAGCACCTGCGGATCCACAGCGGTGGGTAGCCAGGGGGCGGGAAAGGGACTCTGTGCCCTTTTGAATATTCATTACCCTGATTTAGAGAACTTGTCATGAACTTGACGGGACTTACCGAAGCAGGAGGGGTTTATCCGTACTGATTCTAGGCCTTTAGAGTTCAGCATTTCAGTGTCATGATTTAGTCAGGTGCACATACTTAAGGGAATGCTCAGAATATCACTGCATTATATATGCATGACATCTTGAGACCTTTATTAAGATCTTAGCAGCTACCACATGACTGTTGACTGCTTGCCAACGTTCAGGTACGTTAAGGTGGTAATCCCGTGACCTGTGTGTCTCCCCCCAGGCGAGAAGCCATACGAATGCTCCAACTGCAAGAAGCGCTTCTCCCATTCCGGCTCCTACAGCTCCCATATCAGCAGCAAGAAGTGCATCGGCCTCATTGCTGTCAACGGGCGTGTGCGCGGCGGCGGCGCCAAGGCTGGCTCCTCGCCGACGTCGGCATCCTCCTCGCCCACTAACTCGGCCATCACACAGCTGAGGCACAAGCTGGAGAATGGCAAGCCTCTTGGGCTTCCGGACCAGCCAGCCCACATGAACATAAAGATGGAGCCACAGGACTTCAGTGACTATAAACTCATGATGGCCTCTCATGGGTTTGGAGGCCCCGGGCCCTTCATAAATGGAGGGATTGGGGGAGGCAGTCCTCTAGGAGTTCATGGCTCTGCTCATAGCCCTTTGCAGAACCTGGGGATCGGAATGGACTCTCAGCTCCTTGGATACCCAGGGCTGGGGAACAACATGAGCGAGGTGCATAAGGTTCTCCAGATCGTGGACAATACTGTGTGCCGACAGAAAATGGACTGCAAGCCCGAGGAGCTCTCAAAGATCAAGGCCTTCATGAAAGAGCTCGGCTCTCAGATGGAGGAGCAGAAGCAGGGCCTGACACCCCCTGGGGTTCCCCCAACCGGTCTTCCGGTCGTCAGCCACAATGGTGCCACTAAGAGCATCATTGACTACACGTTGGAGAAGGTGAATGAAGCCAAAGCTTGCCTGCAGAGCTTGACCACGGACTCAAAGAGACAAATTAGCAATATCAAAAAGGAGAAATCCAATCACATGTTAGATTTAGGTACGGAGGACAAAACTCATGAAAACAATGTCCTCTTCACGCCATTCTCCTGCCAGTACTGCAAAGAGACCTTCCCTGGGCCAATTCCCTTGCACCAGCATGAGCGATATCTGTGCAAGATGAACGAGGAGATCAAGGCAGTCCTCCAGCCAAACGATAACCTGACTCCCAACAAGCCAGGCCCATTTCCAGACAAACACACCCTACTGCTGTCCTCCATGCTTTCTGAGAAAGGACTGACGAGCCACATCAACCCCTACAAGGACCACATGTCGGTGCTCAAGGCATACTTTGCCATGAATATGGAGCCCAACTCTGAGGAGCTGCTCAAGATCTCCATTGCAGTGGGCCTTCCTCAGGAATTTGTGAAGGAATGGTTCGAGCAGCGGAAGGTCTACCAATATGGGGACCCCAGGACCCCACCTCTGGAGCGGCACAACAGGGAGGTGGCGCTGGCTGCCACCAACCACACTCCCGCTAAAGACCCAATGGTGGCCCGGTCCCCAGTGTCCCTGGTCAAGCCGGCTGACCGCATCACATCACCAGCAGTAGCCGAGCTCCACAACAACATCAACAGCTGTGACACTCCCCTCAGGCTTTCAAAAACTGCCCAATTTGCTGGTGGCAAGCCGACAGGCGAGAAATTGGACCACTCGCGCAGCAACACTCCTTCGCCTTTGAACCTCTCTTCCACGTCATCAAAAAACTCCCACAGCAGCTCGTACACTCCAAACAGCTTCACTTCGGAGGACCTTCAGGCTGAGCCATTGGACCTGTCCCTGCCAAAACTCATGAAGGAAACTAAACGTATTGTGACTGTGAAAAACCAGCTGAATCCCAACAGTGTCACCATCGAGCACAACAACAATGTGTCCTCCCCACGCAAGCACTTGGAGGAGCCTTTGAACTTGGCATACTTAAAAAAAGAGTTTGCCAACTCCAACAACGGCCACCTTGACAAAAGCACTAACCCCATTTTCAGTATTAACCCCTTCAGTGCCAAGCCTCTGTACACATCGATTCCACCTCAGGGCGCCTTTCCTCCTGCCACTTTCATGCCCCCAGTTCAGGCCAGCATCCCAGGCCTGAGGCCATACCCAGGGCTGGACCCCATGAGCTTCCTGCCACACATGACTTACACGTATGCAACGGGAGCGCCTACTTTTGCCGAAATGCAACAGAGGAGGAAATACCAGCGCAAACAAGGTTTCCAAGTAAGTGAGCCGCCAGACTCCCTGTGCATTCACTGCAGTCTGTCCCGGTCGTGCACCTGTAGGACAGTGAGCTCATACCATTTAGCCACCCAGAGCGCCCTTGTTTGGGGTACCATTGCATAATTGGTGCTTTTGGGGTTTCTGATGTTATCTGCCTTACAGAATCATTGAGGGCAAAGGGCAGTCCCCATCCAGACTCCATCCTGGGTGCTGGGATGTCCATGTGTCCAATATTGCATTCTATTTACCTTGGAGGTTGGAAGTCAGAGCTGAGAATGATGTCACACCCAAGTTAACCGCATTTCAGTGCAAAAAAGCAGGGAAGCCATTTAGCGGTACCAGTTCTACCCAAGTTCATTGTTAGAAATTGTTAGCAATACCAAATAAGGCAACGCAGCAACATGTCCACAGAAAGCGGTAGGATAATAAGAATAATATTTTGTTTGACTGATTTAATGAGACACAAAAAAGACATGAATGCCAATAAAATGTATATAGCTACAGCTTTCACTTCTGTTGATGAAGTGCGCAGCCATCTTTTGAGATCGGAGCTGCTGAGGTTTTTCCAACTTTCCGAGTCGGAAATTTGACTTCGGGGGGGGGTTCCAGTTGAAATGTCCTACTAGGAACTCGGAAAATTCCGACTGCCCAGTTCAAATGGAACGCACCACATGTTTTGCAGGGTCTCCTCATGTTGTTCATTGGCCATGAATGTTCAGCCTCTCCTTAATGCTTCATCCCCACCAATGTTTTTGTTCTGTTCTTTTTCTACAAAGAAAAAAGCGAAAAATGAGTTTCAACACAGGGATTAATAATGTAGCGTATCGGTGTTCATTACTGCAGTATGCTAAGGGCTGTTTAACATAGTGCCATTTCGATTAAAAAAAAGAAAGTATTCATAATGTTTCCCTTCCTAAGTTATTAAATTAGATTTAAAGAATACAGCTATGGGCATTTAGCTCAAATTGATTGTGGAGCGATGGTCCCGTCTCCTTAAACCTCAGCGTCGCTACATTTCAGGAATCTCAGTCAGGCCAAAGCCTTTACTTCTAACGAGGACACTGAGTGCGTCCCAATTTCTGTTCTGTTAGTGCACCTCATGATTTAATCATTACCGGTTGAAAATTAGAAGACTGTTGCAATATACCCCACAAAGGCCTCTTATTATTGTGACCCTCTAATATGATGATCCCCCCCCCCCCATTAATTTAAGTAAGCCTATCAGGTTAATCTCTTCTGTGAAAGAGGAACATATAAATATAGAATTAACACCCTTTTATATATAAAATTAAGCCAAATTCAAATGCAAATGTGTGGAGTAGCAAAATACTAAGTCGCTAAATGCTAATATTGCTGCCCTGGTTAGCTGACTTTCTGAGTCTGAGTCTCGTTAAGGCTCCTAAGGTGACTGTTGGTTTCCGGCCTTTTTTGGGCTGGGGTGGCCCCGTATGTGGTTAACAGGTGTGGATTGAGGGAATCTGGTTATTTTATAGGGGGAGCTGCTTGACGGCACAGCAGAGTACATGTCAGGCCTGGATGACATGACAGACTCTGACTCCTGTCTGTCCCGGAAGAAGATTAAGAAGACAGAAAGTGGTATGTACGCGTGTGACTTGTGCGACAAAACATTCCAGAAGAGCAGTTCCCTCCTAAGACACAAATATGAGCACACAGGTATATATACTGTTCCAGACACTCGTTTTACCCCGTGCCTCCTTCATGTTTTGTGTCCCTAAACCCCTTTTTGATTTTCTTTTGTTATTTTTCATTTTTTTACCTTTTCTCTTCCTTTGTGTTTTATTTCAGTTGTGTGTGTTATAACCCTGAATATGTTTCTCTCCTGTTGACAGGGATTATGATATTATTTCTTTTGCCACAAAGAACATTGCATTGGGAGTGAACTGTGGCCGTGTGTCTCCCAGTTTAATGCTTAAAAATGAATATTTCTTCATATTAGTTAATAACAGCCTGTCTGTGTGCCGTAGCTTGTATGACATGTTTGCCTTAGCATTACTGTTAGCATTACCGTTAGCATTACCGTTAGCATTACTGTTAGCATTACCGTTAGCATTACCGTTGCCTCATGACCGTACTTTCCAAGCAAATTTAAAAAGTGGGAATGAGTATCCAGCTCTTCCCAACGGTGTTCCGCGGACAGACTGGGCGGAGCCTCATCAAAGGCAGTGCCCATGGGTCAGTGGCAGCGCCATGCACCAGGCCTTTCAGATTCCCTCCGAACTCCTGGACCACCGCTCCCAGCGGCAGACTTTCAGCGTATTACATCACCCACTCTCAGTCGTGTTCCCCAGCAACGCTGCTGCCGTGGCGGCGTGCAGGGAGGGAATTTGCTGGCTGTCGCCGTTTGAATTTGGCGGGGGAGGAAGTGGGTGGGTGGGCGTGGCCTACAACAGTGGGTGGGTGGGCTGGTACATGTTCAGCACAGACTTTTGCCCAAAAGGGCTTGTTTGCATGGAAACTCCACAGAAATCCACAGACGCACTGGGCTGGATGCTCAGAGTAGTAATGACTGCAGGGGTTGGGAGTGGGGGGTGTCACCATACTACAGTCAGCCTCAATGAGGAGGACTTATTTCGGAAGTTGACTTAGCAGGGTCAATGCTGCTATGCTCCATCAGAGTAGGCCGTTCTACAGCCCGGTACCAACGCCCCCCCCGCCAAACATCCAATATAACATGGTGACCACAGCGATCGTGCCCAGGTGCTGTGTCGCGTTGCATTTGACCCCCATTTCATCCTTCTTCGTCCCTGCCGCAGGTTCTTTTGAGTGCGTTCGCTTTACGCCCTCACTATACTGTATACACCAGAGGGATGTTAAATTTCACCTGTAGCCGGTTCCTCAGTTCGGCGAGAGTGCATGCCCCCATGCCTTCTGGGTGCCCCGTACTGTGTCAATGCCGCGCTCCTCTTTCCTTTCATTTTTGTTCTCCTTTTGTTTGTGTTCCTTGTCGTTCTCATCGTCCATTCCGTTTGCCTCCTTGATTTTCGTGTTGATTTTGCAGTCGTGTGTGGCGCAGCAGGCGGCACCTCCTAATAGGCCCTCTCCCTCCCTCCTTGTTCCTGCAGGTAAACGGCCACACCAGTGCCAGATCTGCAAGAAGGCCTTCAAGCACAAGCACCACCTGATCGAGCACTCGCGGCTACACTCGGGCGAGAAGCCCTACCAGTGCGACAAGTGCGGCAAGCGCTTCTCGCACTCAGGCTCCTATTCGCAGCACATGAACCACCGTTACTCCTACTGCAAGCGGGAGGCCGAGGAGCGCGAGGCGGCTGAGAGGGAGGCGCGTGAGAAGGGCCACCTGGAGGCCACGGAGCTGCTCATGAACCGTGTGTACCTGCGCGGAATGACCCCCCAGGGCTACTCCGACACGGACGAGCGAGACGCTGCCACCAGGGAGCGGCAGAAGGAGGCAGACGGGCCGTACGCCAAGATTGGTCGGCGGGACGAGGAGTTTGAGGAGGAGGAGGAGAGTGAGAACAAGAGCGTGGACACGGACAGGGACACATTAAGGGACGAGGAGGAGAATGGAGAGCACTCGATGGATGACAGCTCAGTGGACGGGAAAGCAGAGGCCAGATCCGATCACGAGGACGGCGTGTAACAAAACTACTGCATTGAAAACTTCCCCCTATACATATTATTTTTTGCATTTGTTTTCTTTTGTTTCCCCTGGTAGCCTTTGCTACCTGCTTTGTTTAACAACACGCTGCTGTGTTACCGTTCGACATGCACGTGCCTGAGAGAGTCTGGGAACCTCAAGATGGAAGGATATGAGGGTGGGGGGGGGGGGGAGAAGACGCTGATGGGTATTGAAGCCAGGGAAGGCAGGTTGGTTTAGAACATGCATTATGCAAAAAAAAAAAAAAAAACAACAAAAAAAGATGACATAGATGAAATATGTTTTTTTTTAATTGTACAGTATTAAGGCCTAAAAAAATGTGTGGTGCTAACATTCTAAAATCCTGTGTTTCATAGTATTTATAGCACAAACTCTTAACTTGTATAAATTGCACTCTGCTCCTGTAATCACTACACAATAATAAGAATTATTGCCTATGTATATTTATACAGTGTTTTAAAAAAAAGCAGCGTAGTGCCTGCACTACATTTCACCAGTATTATTCTGTATCTATCACTTGTGTTGTCTACAGGTTTGCCCTGTTGTCAGGCCAACTAACCACACAATTTTAGGCCTCCGAATCTCATCATGTGAAGGATCTTAACAGACACCTGGGTAATAATTAAGGTATTAAAGTCTTACAGCAACCCGGAAAACGAAGGAGAGACAGTATGAAGACTCAGAGATGGAAGGATGGAGTGGGCAGTGAAGGATAAAAAAGCCTTTGTAAGGTGTTTTTACGAGAGGAAAAATAAGCCTTATATGCAAACCTTTTAATCTGTGTGTTTCTGCAAGTGCCATCCTAGTATTGTGTAAAGTAAGGTGACGCGTGTCGCCTACGCACCAGCTTCAGTGTTCAGAAATAGTCCTTTGATTCTCAAATTGTTCCTTGGAGAACCCATGTCAGTATTAGAAGACTAGTCAGCAGCTCCTTAGTTTACACACGTTTGTGCAATTTCCTGTTTTTTTTTCCATTAACTTTTATCAGTATTACACCAAACCTTTTTTTTTTCAACATCAAAAAATTGCATTCATTTTTAGGTTTAAATAACATTTTATTTATGTGGCTCATTTTATATTTCCTAATTTTATTTATTTCATACTGTAGTGTACAGTATTATAGTTCTTCAATATATAGATATATTTTAGTAAAAAGGAACATGGCGTTGATCATTTGGGCAAATTTTACGTAAAGAGAGCATTTATTGTGTTTTAAAACATTAATTGTGAATTGCGAATTTTCAATTTTATTATTGTTTTGTTTCTTTTACTTTCCAGTTACTGGAAATTCCAAATTTTGGAACTTTTGATACAATATTGTGAAAACACTGTATTTTCGACTGAAAAATTCCACTTTCTTCATCTTGTTTTCTTTTTAGCTGAAAAAATGAAGAGGGACTGTTAAAATACAATGTATGATACACGAGAGAGGAAATCTTTCCTGAAATGTAAAAGTATTATTGAATTTTAATTTGTAATTTCTCTTGGAAATGACCATGCTCGAATAAAAGTAGTCAAATTAAAAAAAAAATGCAAGAAACAATTTGTGTTGCGTTGCATCCTGCTGTGTTAGTAAAAATGCGAATTTCATTTTCTGACAGCTGCGAAACGAAGGAACTTTGTATCGTGATTTACACTTCTAAAAGCTTGGTGTTATGGTCCGTCACTGCTAAAAAAAATCTAAATTTCATGTTTGATTGTTTTTTTTTTATCGCAGAATAAACCTTTTAAATAAGTAAAATAAAAGACTATAAAAATGCCTATGAATAAAAGTTCAAATTTGATAAAGAAATGTGCTTTTAACATTTTTACTTTACATTATTTACTTTTGTCTGAGCATCAGGTACACCACCGCAATACATCGGAAGCACACAACAGAAATTGGAGAGGAGAAGCTAATTAATCGTCGGGGGAAACGCGCGAATACCTGCGGAATCGGCGCGCCCGCGTTTAGGGGGCAAACGGCGGCTTTAAACGGGAAGGTGCTCGCAGCTCACACTTTTTTTCACATTGCTCATGCAGATTAAATACAGCATCAAACGGCTCGGATGAAAGGCAAATGGCCTCCGTACAGCCACCGAAGAACGTGCTTTGCATATTTCACCTTTAATATTGATTTTTGAAGCATTTGAAAACGAAGTGCAATCATTGGACTCTTTTTGTAGATAAAAGGTCCGGCCTTAAATGATTATAAGTTCAATTCAAATTACACTCAGAGCGTGTTTATAATGAAGTCGGCCTTGGGAGAGGAGAAGACCGCCCTCGGTTGAAAACGGGACTGGGACCGCGGAGACGCACCTGTCGGTCCCTTGGGTGCTGGGACGGGACGGGGGGCCTAGGGTGACGGGACGGGTCTGACATTTAGCGCCCGGTGCACTGGAGCAGAGCGAATCGGAATCCCGCCGTATTTAAGGACAGGACACAGTCTATTTATTGCGACGAGACTCCCCGTGGTCCCTTAAAAAGGAGGCTGACATGCAGATGGGTGAGCATTGGTGGGTTTCTTTCCCTCTTTAAATTTGTGATGACAGGGTGGCGTTAAAAGACGGTCATAAAGAAAGTAGCCTACTGTTACACCAAGTCACATTTTAGGCGGCATTTCAGGCGAAACTATTTGGAAATTGCGAGCTCTCGATACTGCAAATGAAACAATGGTGCCGATGACTGCAGAGGTATAAAATGCGAAGTAAAAATAAAATTGCAGTTATCAGAACTTAGAGTAAATCGCTCAAGGCTTCATAAAATTCCAGTTCAATATGGGCAAAATAATTTCTACCGCATGTTTTAATTCCAGTAATTAATAGGAAAAACAACTAATCCCTCCACACGCATCAATTAAATAAAATACTGTTAAATGTGTTTTTTTAATTCTTTTCACTTGGTTTAAACAAAAACGGCTACTAGCTTTTGTCATGTCTTATTTATTTGTTTGATTGTTTGTTTATTGCTCCATTAACCATTTTTACAGAAACTCGGACCATGCGTAGAGGATACAGGCATCATGGTGACCTTGGAGTGCCCTGACTTTAGAGCATGTTCAGAGCTTGGCCGCAATTCTGACCTGCCTGGAATGACTGTCTCACGGTGACTCATCAGTTGAGACCTCCATGGACTCCTCCTCTGCCCTCATGACTTCTCCCACAAACACCTCGGACTCAAACATATGAAGATGACTTAATATTGTCGTTGGCACTCGTCAAGCCTTCTCGGTATACAAAGGAGAAAGGCTTCTGGCCTCGGTCAGGATTACCTCACCCTGAGAAACACTGGACCGTTTCTAAAGTAAAACCATACCTGTTGCGCAGGCACCGGGGAAGGCTGGACGGGGTCTATCGGCGCTGCTTTTTAAAAATATTGAGTTACCATCTAAACCGAGGATGAATTAAGGCATTAACTATAGTTCTGTGGAGACTCGATACTTTCTGATGGTCAAAATTGACAGCGGTGTACGGAGTACGTTTAATGAGAGCTCCAAAAATGCAGTAAAATGGATGGAAAATAATGCAGGGTGAAATCTATATAAATGCCATTATTTTTTAACATTCAGCAAGATTTAAGGGCTTGATCAAAGAACTTTAATAAGATTCTGTATGCATATTAATAAATTATTTAATAGTATATGTAATGTAGCGTTTTCAGAGCGCTCCTGAAAATCCAATACAAAAAGCAATGACCAGTTGATAGGTTTGTATTTTTTTGGATGGGGAAGGAGGCGGGTGTGCAGAGTGATGGACGAGCAAAATCAGGAGCAGACTTTTGACCCCATTAAATCATTAACATACCCCCATATGCTCTCCGTATTATTCTCCGGGCACATGAAGGGCAGAACCCGGGAAGGGAGCGCAGACCTGGCACTTATTGAGAGAAAGTTCAATGGCAGACGCGGAGGAAGGGTGCGAGTGACCGGCGGGGATTAGCCAATCAGATTGTCAGAAGAGGGGCCAGCGGCCAGAGGATTAGCCAATCAGATCGTCAGAAGACCGGCCAGAGGTTCCGTCTGGCCGGAGCAGGTGCTATAGCGGTGTGCCAATAGTGCGCTGAAAAAGAGAAAGAAAGAAGAATGCAGTTTGACCTGCGCACAAGTGCCTCTATCGCAGGGCATCGCTTCTCTCAATGGGAAAGATTTATTATTATTTTAAATAGCGCTGATCCTATTCAGGTCTTAACGTCTGGATAGATGTTCAAGTGCCAAGTGACTTAAATTTTAACCTAAGGGAGACGGGAGTCTCCTTCCGCCGAAGTTAGGCTACTTGGATTTGGATATAATTAAAAGTTAGCTTTTGTGAGTTACGCAAAATACATTTCACTAGGCGATAGAGAAAAAGCTGAATTTCCCTTTGCCGTTCATACAAAACAATAATCAGCCTCGCTTTAGTTTAAACGAGTGTGTAACGCATCATGCTTACGTCAAGAATGGTTTTAACGTAAAGTAATATCTAGCTAAAATTATTTTGGTATATGATATGCCCCCGCTCTACAAAAAAATAAAACACTGAAAATAATAAACTGTTTGTTTTATAACTATTTCGATTATAACGCTCTTTTTAAATTTGGAAAATATTAAAGCTGTGACAATTAATTAACACACGTTTTTTCAAATTTAATATGATATGTATGGTAAATTAACATTATCTTTAGTAACCAACCATACTGTATTTTCTGCTTTTAGATAAAATATCAACTGATATAACTACATTGTTTTAAATGCTACTTTTTCTAACGCTTTTTTAATGCTTCTACCATTTCATTATTGAAAAAGGCTTGTTTGTCGTTCCTATTTTTACAAAGGCACAACAATAATAATTACAATCGAAATAAAATAATGAGAATAAAGAAAATATTTTTTCGTAAGTTTCTAAAGTTGCACTTGGCATTAGTCAATAAGGATATTAACATTTTTTCTTTTTAAGACCGTCATTTTAGAAAAAACTGATATAACGAATGATGCTTTTGGATCTGACACTTGTTTACTTCTTTAAGATAACTAATAAATTGAAACATGTGAATGTAATTTGTGGCACCATCGGGGGCTACGAGCAACCAAGCGGGCCGCTGCCCCCCGGACGCGGCAGGTGCAAGGCGGGGAGTGGGCGCGCAGCGAAGGGCACAAAGACAACAATGCTGTCCTGGACCAGGGGGAGGGAAGGCTTGCCCCGGCCCTT